GAGAGAGAGAGAGAGAGAGAGAGAGAGAGAGAGAGAGAGAGAAAGGGAAAGAGAAAGATCGAGAGAGAAAATGTGTTGATCTTCTTTTTCGGATATTATGTTCCCACGATTATGTATGTCAGCTAAATACTCTTTCTTTCTTTCTTTCTTTTCAGACAAAAGACAGTATAATCTAAGCGATTCTCTACACTGGCTCTGACCTGAACAAACGCTGAACAATATGCTAATTTTCTGTCGACATTTACGAGTAAATTCTAACAAGCGAGTGTAGGACTACATCAAGCAAGGACATACAGCTTTCCCCTGACGTCGGTGAACCAACGGGGGGTTTCAGCCCTTATTCTTTGTGAGCCACACATTATGGACATCTCCTTGTGGATCTGCTCATTGGAACCTCAGGCATAAGAACAAAATTGTTTTCCCGGTGTGCTTCATGCTTCGCCAATATAATATTATTGTTGTTTAGTAGGTTTGATGTAGACAACCAGAAGCACAAACACTGCAGCTTGGCAGGGCTTTGTTTTATGGCCTTCAAACACGACCAACGATGAAGGCGACAGCTTGCGACTTCTCTTCTCATAACTTTGCTATCCCAGAGTACAGAGAACATCTCCCTTTGATTGGAGGAATTAAGAGTACATTCATTTATATTAATATTCCAGACAGTGAACGCACATCCTGTAAACACTAAAAGTGCGCTTTGGAGAATGTTGCAGCCAGTGAAATGGATGTGTTCTGCAATATTTCTGTAATAGAGTTCACATTATCAGTTTTATTTGATCTAACAGCGTGATAAATTAAAATGAATTGAAACACTTATGGGGAGCTATGGCCAGGTTTGTGTTATGTATGGCCTGCCCAATAAAAGTTAGTGGATCAGTTAACGCAAGAATGATACGGGAACTGCCTTCTCTTTTGCCTTACCAGTATTATCTGTCTCAAAATATCTACGTGTTTAATACTTAATGCTTAATACCTGAAAATGGTTTAAGAGGGGCTCCTAAAATTGATTCTAGTATTAAAAAGCTTTCTTGGCCCTCAGAGAAGTCAAATAAATCAAAATTAGATATTGCGAAAGACTGAGCAGTGGAATCTTTTGTCTGGTAGTTTTGGCAGCCACCTGAGGCTTCTGTATCTCTGTGCTTTGTTTCATTTATGACGAAGACAATGCCGCTATAAAAGAAAACAGGGAAGCCGGAAGCACACTGGGGGTGAATGGAAGCGAAGAGATAAAGTCCTGAAACTACGGAGTCCCTCTTCCGGGTATAATCTCTGTACTAAGCTTTTCAATCTCCACGTCTCTGTCTTCGAAATGACCTCCATTGTGTCCAGTAAGGTGAAAAACGTCAACAACAAGAACAACAACAAGAAAAAGAACAACAACGACAACAAAAATAACAATATCACACTAAACATCGCCCTGTCTGCTCAGTCTGTAAGGAACTTAACGGCAGTCGGGCAACACAGTCTTACTCCTCTACCTCACCGTTTCGATATGAAGGCTACGTGGAGAGTTCTTATTTCTCCCTATCTCGTCATATCGGACATGGATGTCCCAAGAGTCACACAACCCGCTGTATCGAACAACAAGCAGAAAACGTAATCACACATTCGTAAACGCAAAAAGGAGTGTTTTGTTTATCTGCCTCCGTCAACTGTTGGTCAGACTCAGAGAAAAAGGAAAGACTATCTATAAGGGAGAGAGAAAAGGACATCCATCGGTTACAGGTAAAGGACACACTGTCGGTCAGAGACCATTCGAGAGAAAGGAAACAACGTCTTTCGGAGATATAGGGAATACCATTTTACCACGATGGCCACATTCCGAATCGAGGTAGAAGACATCCTCATGATCTCGCTATTCGTTAACGCTTGCGTTGTGCTCCAGCTGTTCTCGAGCCGAGCGATAGAGCTGCTACTACGGCTCCTAAAGGGACTGAGTTCAAAGTCCCGAACGCTGAGGGACCTGGACATGGACAGACCAGGCTTTCTTGGCAGGGTGTAAGTATTAATTTGTCTGTTGTACCAAACTCAATGGTGTTTCCCCAAATTAATATCATCCATATGAACACTTTCCCGCCGAAAATGGCCCTAGTCAGCAATCTGCTGTGCACTACGAATTATGAATAGTTGAAACTAATGCAGGTACAGTGAAGGAAAGAGAGACACCGTGTGCATGTGTATGTGTGAGTGAAGAGGTGGGGTCAAACGTAAAATACAGCCTTTGATCTTTGAAAATGAACGTAATAAATTGCCCGCAATGGAAAACGACACGAATAAAAGTCAGCAGAAAATTCTCTAAAGGGAAAAATCATTTCACTTCAGTAAAGTACAGGTGTGGGTTTAACGTCCATATCAACACTGTTAGGTTATTTAAGAGGTGAAACCTCCGAATTAGAGAGAGAGAGAGAGAGAGAGAGAGAGAGAGAGAGAGAGAGAGAGAGAAAATGTGTGTGCATGTGTGTGTGTGTGTGTGTGTGTGTGTGTGTGTGTATGTGTGTGTGTGTGTGTGTGTGTGTGTGTGTGTGTGTGTGTGTGTGTGTGCAAAGAGAGTAAGTGAGAGAGAATTTAATGGTAGGGAGATGCACGCAGAAAACCCTCTTTCGATTTCCATATGGGGAGAATTTTTATCGAGTATCTTGGTCTTTCTGCAGGGATGCTGTTTCTCTCTTAACTCGGATTGACTCTGGTAGGCAGGGTCGAAATCCACCTCCAAAATGATCTAAAGTATGTCGATGGGGGCGTGAAACACCACTAATTTTTTTCTCTGGACAATCAAAGACACTGGTCTGCAGTGTGGCTCAAAATGACCTCAATATGTGCACCAAATGGCATTTATTTTGTGGTCTCATTCGGCAGAAATCCTCCGTGATCCCCCTTCCCGCCCTCAAATTCATCAACCCTCCCTCCCACCCACTCGCATGTGGCCCCCGCCCCCCACCCCACCCCACCCTCCCTTTCCACCGGTATGCCGGTCGAGATCGTGACAATAATATTATAATCTATAATTTAAAAAAAATAGAATTAAATGCCTTGTCCCGTTCAACCGCTATGCGTTCTTGCATTCAACTCATTCTTATACGGTTTTGTAGAAGTGGGAAGAGGAAAATTGATAACGAATTCCTATACATGCATTATATAACGGCAATGCTCAGTGGCTTCTCAGTTCTCTGCACCTTTCTTTTTATTCTGGTGCAGTTGTAAAACTTTCAAATTCTATAGAGATAGTTTTGTATCATTCTTAAAGGAAATAATATATTCTTCTTCTCTGGGTACGGAATGAATTAAATCTTAAGGGAAATTGACGAGAGCTCGGTGTGTGCAAACATCGTGAAACCCACACCTACACAGTAATACAAAGCACAAAGGCATATACACACATAGTCACACTCACAAACGCATTCCACTTACACACAAATAGACACTAACACATGCACGCACTCGCAAATATCAAGCAGAAATCAACCTGCCAAAACCAGTGCTTTATGCCTAACCTGTATTTAACATGCACCCGTATTCTGTTCATACCAACTGGAAACGGACTATCATCTTGGGTAATTTTATGCGGAAAGCATATTGTAGTAAAATAGCTAGATGTAGTAATTAGTTTCAAGTAACCTTAACAGCCTATCTCCCACGTCCCAGTGTTATCCCGCATCGGTCTGCCTACGATAGTATGTGTTGGCGCGTCCTTGGGAGCGTCCACATCGATTTGCATAACAATTGCCAGTCCCCGCAGCCTTTGCGAAAACTTCCGGGTTCGCAGGAATGTCAATTATGGTGAATGCACACCGTACCTCTTGTCGAAGCCGAACGTCCTTGTTCGACTTCATTTGTCGCCTAGACTGATAAAGATATATAGTTATTATCATAACTCATATGCTGATTAAAATCACGGTAGGTACATAAACTTGTATTCTACAAGGTTATTGTTTCTATGTACATGTATTAAACAAAATTTCTGCATCGTATATCTTACAGCAGGCTTACAAAACTGCTCGATTTCTCCAAATTAACGACTTTCAGAGCAAACCTTATTTGTTGAGATCTCAGTGTTCTAACGACGTCTTAACAAGCCAGTCGAAACTTCCGACAAAGTGGCGTCGTGTGCACACCCTATTTCTAGTTTTTCGTTGAATTTGATATATTATTATTGTCTCAGCACATGAGTCAGACTATTATTATACATGCAAAAGGTTGAAGTTTTAGTTCTTAAAGAGGGGCAGGGAGATTTTCGTTTTTCATTGGATTTTTTCTACTTAGACCAGATCCCCATGTAGGCCTACGTGGGTTAAGAACTCCTGGCAGGAAATTGCCCGTTGTTTGTCGATCGGGCGTTAACCTCTGGCCAAGACCAAACAAAGTGATAGTTATAGGCTGTTCTGACGTATTTGCTCCAGATGTCAGTTCACGTTTTCCGTTTTTGCCTTTACAAAATCTTCCCTTGCTTTTGTTCTTTTTCTGTTTTGATATATTTCTGTTTCTGTTTAATAAATAGGTCTAGAACCTTCGTGACGTGCAAGCTGCTGTTGCTCGAGAAGCACGAGATTTCGATTCCTGAGTAAGGAAGATTTAATTAATCAAGTATCTAATTCTAGTTCTCCTTCCCTCTCCCAATCCACTCATATTCATACTGCCCCCCCCCCCC